TTTTTTTTAGTTTCAACTTAAATTTGCATATGAGTAGTGGGTGGTCTGTTCCATAATCAGCACTTGGCCTAGTTTTCACAGCTGATATTGAGCTTCTCCACCTATTCTTTCCACAGATGTAATCAATCTGATTCCTACGCATACTACCAGGTGAAATCCATGTGTATAGTCTGTGTTTATGTTTCGTATAAAAAATTATTTGCAGTGAATAAATCATTGAACGTACAGAATTCTGTAATTTTATCTTCAGCTTCATTCGTCACCAAGCCCATGTTTTCCATCTACTGATCCTTCTTTTCTGTTCCCAACTTTTCCATTCCAGTCATTCATTACTATTAATGCATCTTGATTGCATGTTCGATCAATTTCTGACTGCAAAAGTTGGTAGAAATCTTTTATTTCCTCCTCTTTGGCTCTAGTTATTGGTGTATATAGTTGAATGCCAGTGGTATTCACCAGACTTCCTTGTATGTGTATGGATATTATCCTGTCATTCACAACATTGTATTTCACTATGGGTCTAGAAATGACTTTTTTAAGTATGAAAGCAACCTCACCTTTCCTTACCTTTCTCCAGAATAGTAAATCATAAGATCATCTGATTAAAAATATTCCATGCCAGTCCATCCCATTTTATAATACATAGTATGTCATTGTTAGACTGTTGTTAATGATTTTAGGCTGCTGCTTGGTGATTGTTGTTAGGGGATTATTGTTAGGTGTTGGTTGTTGTCAGGCGATTGTTATTGTATGGTGTTGGTTGTTAGGTGGTGTTGGTTGTTACTAGGTGGTGGTTGTTCTTTGTTAGGTGTTGGTGGTTGTGTGGTGGTGATTGTGTGGTGTTGGTCTTTGTTAGGTGGTTGTTAGGTGATTTTTGTAATGAAGTGGTAATTGAGGTGAGGCAGTTCTGGTTAGGTGTTGTTAGGCTGTGGAGGTGATTGTGTGGTGATAGTTATGTGGTGGTGGTTGTGTGGTGGTGGTTATAGGGTGGTGGTGGTTGTGTGATGGTGGTGGTTGTGTGATGGGGTGGTTGAGTGGGTGTGATTGTGGGTATGGTGGTTATGTGATTGCTGTAATGAGGTACTAATTGAGGTGAGGCAGTCGTTCTGGTTAGGTGTTAGATGGTGGTGGTGGTTGTGTGGTGGTCATTATGTGGTGGTGGTGGTGGTTGTATGGTGGTGGTCTTTGTTAGGTGGTTGTTAGGTGATTGCTTTAACGAGGTGGTAATTGAGGAGGCAGTTGTTCTGGTTAGGTGTTGTTAGGTGGTGGTGGTGGTTGTGAGTGGGTGGGGATTGTTGTTGTAGATGTTATCATGTGTTTGTTGTTCAGTGGGGTTTTTTGTTAGGTAGTGGTTGTTAGAGAGCATAGTTATTAGGTGGAAGTTGTTAGGTTGTGATTGTTGTTGTTGTGGTTGTTAGTTGTTGCTGCAGTGAGGTGGTTACTGATGTGAGGCAGCTGTGCTTAGGCTGTACTTCTGGTTAGTTGGTTGTTGTTAGGTACCATGGAATTGGCTCTCATTCACAGTAATCCCATAATCAACAAAGTGAAATCCTGTCCAATATCCCACCACTCTCACAATCTCTGCTGTAACACAGCCCATTGTTACAGTCACTGTGTCAGTCTATCTTGTTGAGAGTTGTCCTTTTCTTTGACAACCTTTACTCTTTCAAGCATGTTGGAGATTGGCCCCTTCTGATAACATATGCAAACTACATGAGATGAAGTCTCACTGTCCCTGCTTCTAAGGCTAATGAAGGTTTCTCCCCAGACAGACCTGTTTGTTCTTTTTGGCAGTCCTTGGTGTATTCAGTATTTTTGACCAATACCACAATTCAGAGGCATCCACTTGTCATCAGGCAATGCTCTGCTATTTTTAGGTCTTCGAGGGCCTGTTATTTCATGAGTAGCTTTCCAGGCTTTTCTTCTTAATCTGTCAGCTCTGCTGAAACCTGTCTACAATGAAGACTCTGCTGGTATTTGAAATACCAATGGCATAGTGGCCAGCATGATTTATTGTGACTCAAGTCACCATAAACAGATACATGAATGGTTTTTAACTTTGCCCAACAAGGCATAAAATATTTTAAACAGAAGAGTGACCCAATTTGTTATTGCATGCTCCTCTCCTGTAAGGAGCTCAAGTGGGCTAGTGAGTAGGAATTTGTGTGGCTAATACAAGAACAGGTGTTTTGAATCCATGAGTTGCTCCAAACGAGAAAGCTGGGCAATCCTCTTCCATGTGATTTACAGTGGACTGGATGGCAATGACAGGCTTCCCCCCTGCCCCTGCTTTATTATTATCAACTGAAGATCCTTTTGGTTTGGGGGGACATGAAGACACTCCTACCTCCCTACCTGTTTGCACTTAGAGCTAATCTTGGCTATAAAGAGCACTAATGCCAACCATTACCAGGTAGCTCTGGTGGCCTAGTACTAAGAAGCTGTGCTGCAATCCCAAAGGCATGTGGTTTGAATCCACCAGCTGCTCTGTGTGAGAATTTCCTTCTGTGCGATTACTGCCCCTAAAAACCTGGAGGAGGGTCAGCTATGGGTCAGTTCTGACTTGATGGTGCTCAGCAACGTTAACCAAACAGGTATGTCCTGGAAAGAAGTACAGAGTGCTCCTTGAAGGTAAAGCTCCATCTTTCATACTTTGGACATGTAGTCAGGTGAGGCTATTCCTTGGACAGGGACACTGTGCTTGGAAAGATGGATGGTCAGTGAAGGAGAGGAAGACCTCCAAGGAGATGGATTGACACGGTGATTTCAGCAATGGACTCACGTGTCTCGGAGATGATAAGCATGGCACAGGGCAGGGCAGGGTTCAGGTCAGCTGTCATAGGATTGCTGAGTCATACCCGGCTGCACCCAACAACAATGCCAACTTTAGAGAAGGCCAAGTAAGTCCCCCCATGAGCCTACAGAGAATTCAGTCACTGTCAAGTGCACGGGGACAGTTTAGGCTTAGAGCACTAAATTGTACTTCTGATCCCTCTTGAGGCTGCAGGATTCAAATTCGTTAATGTCAATATCCAGAATCCAGTCTCATCTCTATTTGACTAATTTTGATTTTATTTTTTATTATACTAGTTTATTTAAAAAATTAGAACAAATTATTTTCCAGACAAGATTCTTCCAATCACCCACATTTCCCCCCTTCAAATTGTACAACCCCCATCAGTAATAACTCTTCCCCCAGCACATTCTCATCCCTCTGCTTCCACCAGCCCGCTTTGAGTCTTTATACTCATTCTACTATGTTTTATATAATATTTGTCCTTGTGGGACTGAGTTAGTTCACTTAATACTCTGCAGTTCCTCCCAAGTTAGGTAGTGATTTACAAAATCATTGCTCCTGCGTGGTACCCGTTGTAATCCATTGGGTGGATGTAGTATAATTCCTCAATCCATTGGATTGTAGTCGGACATCTAGGTTGTCTCCATGTTCTTGCGATGGTGAAAATCACTATGAACATTGGTGTACAAGTCTCCGTTTGTGCCCCAGTTCTCATTTTCTCAGAATTTTTGACCAGTCACTTTTGACTAATTCTAAAAACAACCGTATATAAAAATAAGAGGGAAAGCTTGAATTGATCAAGACCTTCGTTCCTTCTTAGACTAGTCTTAAGGCGTTTATAGGATTCGGGGTGTATGGGAGTCGGAGTCTGCTCCTGCCTGCACTGGGGTGTCGGTGTGGGTTGGGGTGTGGAGGTGTAGGCGTCCGCAGCTTTGCACGCAGTAGGGACTTGGCGGGAGGCTGGGTGGACACTTATCGGGTATTTGGAACCCCCATCTTCACGCCGTGCACAGAAGATACGCAGGCGCAGGGTGGGAATCCTTGTCCTCAGCTTCCGCCCCCTCAGCTTGCGCGCTCAGTCCCGCCCCCCCGCTCTTGGCCACTCAGTTTTCTCCCCCTGTGCTCACCTCCCTGGGGCTGGACGCTCAGTCCCGCCCCCTCGGTCCTAGCCACTCGGATTCCCAGCCCTGTTCTCGCCCCCTGGGTCCTGGCCGCTCAGTCTCTGCCCCGTCGACTCGGCCCACTCAGTCCCCGCCCCCTCGGTTCGGCCCGCGCAGGCCCCGCCCCCTGGATCCTGGCCTCTAGGTCCTAGCCACTCGGTTTCCCCACCTGTTCTCGCCCCTGGGCCCTGGCCGCGCAGGCCCCGCCCCCTGGGCCCTGGCCGCGCAGTCCCCGCCCCCTAGGTCCTGATCGCGTAGACCCCGCCCCCTGTCTCTTCAGTCCCCGCCCCCTGCCCGCTGAGTCCCCGCCCCCTGGGTCCTGGCCTCCAAATTTCCCCCTTGTTCTCGCCCTCTCGGTCCTGGTCGTTCAATCCTCGCCCCCTCCATCCTGGCCACTCAGTTTCCCCCCTTTTTTGCCCCCTCAGTCCCCGCCCTCTATCCTCGCCCCCTGGGTCCTTGCCACTGGTTCCCGCCCCCCCGTCCCCTGGATCCTGGCCTCTCAGTCTCCCCCCTGTTCTCGCCCCCTGGGTCCTGGCCGCTCAGTCTTCGCCCCACCCCTTCACGCCCCCTGGGTCCTGGCCACTCAGTCCCGGCCCTCGATTCTCAGTCGCTCAGTCTCTGCCTTTTGTCTACGCCTCCTAAGCGCTGGCCACTTGCCTGCACCCCTCCGTCCTGGCTGCTCTCTGGCCCGTCCCCGCCCCCCTCAGATCCCTCAATCTCCGCCTCCTCAGTCGTCCCATCGCCTTCAGTCTCAACCCCTCACCCACATGTGTCCAGTCCCCGCCCTCCATGCCCGCCGACTCAGTCCGCGACCCCTCCAGCCACATCCGCCCAGCTCCCAGGCCCCGCCCCCTCTGCGCGCTCCTTCAATCCGGGCTCTCCAGCTGCTGTCACTCAGCGTCGCATCCTCACTCCAGTGGTCAGCGCGCGCTCGGTCCCCGCCCCCTGGCTGTGGGCGGCCGCAGCGCCTCTTATAGTTCAGCTCTCAGAGCGTTGGACGGCCGAGAAACAGAAGTGGAAGCAGCTGCAAGTGCAACGGCAGGATGAACGCAGATGCAGACCCCGTGGTCATTGTCTCCGCGGCGCGGACCGCCATCGGTGAGCCCAGCCTTCTGCACACGCATCAAAGGGCCTGGGGGGCTAAGGAGGCTCCACCGTTGAGGGGGCGGCGGGCTAGGTGAACCGCGGTGCTTGGGGCAGGGAGACCCCGCAGCCGCTCCACCATTGAGGAGGGGGCGGTGGGCTACGTGGAGAACCGCTGTGCTCGGGGCGGGGAGACCCCGCGGCGGCGGAGGGGAGGATGGGAAGACGTCCGTGCACCGGGCGAGCCGACATGGCGGGCGATTTGGGGTGCAGAGACCCCGTGGTGGAGGAGGGGGAGGCGGATGGATGGCTGTGTTCCTTGAATGCAGGCCTCACCCCCTGTGGCTCCCTCCTGTGTCTACCTGACGCTCTCTAGCCATCCCTGATTGGCTCCCGGGAGTAGAGCCACGCTCAGCCCGTCGCTGCCATTGGTTAACACAGGGACACTCTCCCTCATCGGCCCTCTGATTGGCCAGCGTCAGAAGGAGCCAATGGTCACACCTCTGGTGGGGGGTCTGGTCCTTGGATGGGCTGAGTTTTGAGGATGAGCTGGGGGGAAGGGCATGGAGGGGCACGTGGTCATAGTTGGGCCAAGAGACCACGATCTCTAAAAGGGGACAGGTTGTGGGGGAACTGATGAGTTGGGGTGGATGAGAGGCTTGGGGACTTGGAGAGGAGCTGAGAGGGCTAGCTGGGGGAAGCAGATAGGGAATAGAATGAGGGGAGCACGAGCTGATGGAACAAGCCATGGAGGGGACTGAAGGCACAGGCCAGGCGGGGAGCTAAAGGTGGGGGGGGGGCAGGAAAGCATTATCTAGGGGGAGGCAAACAGGGAAAGGGGGTTGGGGGACAGAACTGAACTGGGGGCACGGTGGGGAGGGGGCGGTGAACTGGAGGAGAGAAGAGAGGCAAAGGGAATAGTCTGGAGGGAATGAGTGGCAGAGAGGGGTGGGAGCACAAACTTGGCGTGTGGGTCCAGGGTGTGGAGGGGACGGGTTGAGTAAAAGGGGGTACAGAGGAGTGAGACGAGCCATGAGAAGATGAACTGAGCACACTGAGGCGGCATGAATGCTAGGACACGCTGGGAGGAAATGAGAGGAATGAGCTGGAAGACCAAGGCCAGATGAGCATGGAGGGGTGAGGCTAAGCCTTAGGGACACCAGTTCTTCCAGCCCAGCTGGAGATTCTGAACGAGGTGTCTCTCTTGGGTTACCTAATGAAGAATGATTCTTTGACTTTTTAGTTCTTTAGAGTTTTCAAAGTCTTTTTTGACAGGGGTTTCTGGGCTTCTTTTGTTTGGGAGTAGCAGGACTCTATCCTCCTCAGTTTTCTGGAAGTGGATGGCAGTGTCTTTTTTCTGGCCAGATCCATTCAGAAAGGTGTCACGTATTTTGTTCTCTGTTTTAGCAAATCAAGCCAGAAGTCCCTGCACATTACAGAGGCTTGCTGTTGTATGAACTTGTGCAGGGAAAAGGGCACACCTCTTTCCCTGGCCTTTCTCCCCATGTTTTATCTTACCACTGAGGTGTGAGGGGTCCGTATGGGTGATCCTGTGCCTATGGGTGGCCTTCCTTCATCACTCTCAGTTTTCAAACTGCACTTTGTATTCCCCGGATTATTTTAGGCTCCTTCAATGGTTCCTTATCTTCTGTTCCTGTCCATAATCTAGCCGGAGCTGTCATCGTAGAAGTCCTGAAGAGGGCCAATGTGGCTCCAGCTGATGTGTCAGAGGTCATATTTGGACATGTTTTAACAGCAGGTAACTCACTGGTGACCTTTAACACAGGTCAGGCTTCTTAGGAGCGCCTTGTTGACATGCACACTTAACATTCTTGTTTCCATACATTTGTTCATGGATACCTTTATCCTCTCTCTGCCAAGAGGTTTTTAATAATGCTTTTCCAAAATGAACCGAGACCACTGTCCTTGGGCCAGATTGATGCACAGGAGGATGTGCCTGGTCCTTTGCTCCTGTATGTTACCTGGTCGGTAAGAAGTACTGAATTTCTCCTGTGTGTCAAGTATTCTGTCAGATACTTGGGCCACGCAGGTAAGTGGAGCCTATTCTGTCTCTCCATAGCTGCCGTCACAGTCTTATGGCAGTGGCCCTGCACAGATTCCAGTGCCAGCTAGGTACCACTTGTACAGAGGGACACAATATTTTCATTTGTCACTGAGTGAATTTAGTTTCTATTTGAAATTGGCTTTAGTGATCATTTATACTAAGTACTAATGTTGATGGTGTGGTCAGTCAGTTCTGATGTAAGCAACTCTCATGTGCTGAGTAGAATTCCATATTATTTTCTAAGCTGTGACCGTTTAGACACAAATCACAAGGCCTGTCTTCTGAGAGACCCCAGATAGGTTCACACTGCTACCTTGCAGCTAGTAGTAATGGCTTAAACCAGGGACTTCTTACTCAGGATTATAGCAAATCATTTCTCATACAGTTTTGTGAAATATATTAATTTGATGGAGGGTTTATTCACCAAGACAGAGATTAACTTTTTTCCATGAAAAAATTTTGGTCCAAAGGAGCACTGTTGGCCTAGCAGCAAGAAAATGTGCTGCAGTCTCAAAGGCACGAGTTTCAAATCTACCGGCTGTTCTGCAGGAGAAGGATGGGCAGTCTCCTCCTCTGCTATTAACTGCATCTGAAAACCTGCCATGGGTCGGTTCTGACTCGATGATACACAACAACAGCATCATGAAGCTTATTTCCAAGCTGAATAAGCAAGTGAAGAAAGAGAAGGCTGACGTCTGGGGATAATGTGGAGGCCCCAGACCCAGCATGAAAGAAAGCGCTGGTGATCTGGTAACCTTGTGGAATACTTGTCTTCTCCATGGGGTTGCCATGAGTTGGAATTGATTGGCTTGCAATTGGTTTGAGGTCAAAGAATTTTGCCAGTGTGTTGGTAGCCAAAATAATGGAGTGTTTGCATAAGTAAACAGAGGATTCTGAAACTTGGCATGAGAGAGTTGAAAGAAAAGAAATTTGGACCAGGGAGTTCAAGGCAGTTGCAGAACTGGTGTGTAGGCTGGGGCCACCACATAGGTGTTGAGGTGACTGAGAATGAAGCAAGAATTGGTATAGAGGAGAAAGCTGTAAGACCTGAGGGGAGCAGTGAGGTGCAGCCTGGGGACGGCTGCCTGGGGAGCTGGCTCGGAAGGTCGTGATTTGAGAGTGCACTGAGGAGCCCAAGTGGGTTCAGGCTTTCAGATTTTGGTGAGGCTTGGGAGAGTGGATAGCTTCCACTCAGAGGGCTGTAGGGAAGATGGGATTCCAGGGAGAAAACAGAACGTATGAGGAGGTTGAGGAATGGAATAGTTTGGTGTCTTTTTAATTTTTTTTTTTTTTAAATTTTGTTTTAATTGAGATTTTAACGAAAGTTTATTGAGAACTTGGATTTCCATTCATTCATTGCTGCATAAGCCATCCTCAGGCTTAACTAGCCATTGACTCTTTCACACTTGAAGGATTCAGTTACCTTTCCCAATCATTTTACCAGGCCAGATCAATCATTAACAGTGGATCCTTCACCAGGACAAAGAGTAAGGTAATTTGTAAGGTAATTTGTATTGGCCATCCAGGTGTGCTGAAGTTTATCCTTATGATAGGTTTGGGTTTGCCCACGGTTTATCTTGGCTTCATTTCTCTGGCATATGATAAAATTGAACTGAGAGAAATTTAATCCTTCACTCGAAGCCTCCATAGGTATCAGCATAGGAAAACCTTTGAGGAACTTCAGGGTTGGCTGTTTTGTTACAGGCCAGCAGTGCCTCCCTCTTCATCCACTTTCACAGTTACAGGAATGAACAGTTTTACAGTCATAGTTAATCCTGTTCACAATCACTATTCGCAGTGGTAATAAGGGATCACATCATCTTTTCCTCACACATCAGGAGAAGGTGATATTCAGTAGGACTCTTCCCTTGCCCCTCCGTTTTTTAGTCTAAGTACTCAAATGCAGAGTAAGGAAAGCAGATAAGCCAGCCTTTAACATCCTCTGCATTTTTACATGTTTTTAAAATGCTCTCTGCTCTATTCAATATTTTGCCCAATAGAATTCTTGAGTATTGCGATTTGAGGCTGGAATTTTTTTTTCTTAGAGACTAAGGAAAATTATTACAGCCAAAGGAATACTACCTTGGTTTAAAATTAAAGGAGTGTGTCAGATTTGTGTTCTCTTCTGCATACCTATTCAGTCTAAATGCTGAACAAATTATTTGAGAAGCTAGACTCTTTTTTTAAAAAAATTTTATTAAATTTTATTAGTTTTAATGAACATTTACAGGGATTTTGGGTTTTTATTCCTTCATTGCTGCACCATTCTCTCTACCCTCCTCCCCAGTTTGTTC